AACATTTCATTTCAAATGCTGGACAGACCTTTAGTAAACAAACAAAATGAAGCTCTGACCCTTATAAAGTTTTAAAATCCTTAAAGACTTTTTAAAAAACACTCTTAACCATTTCTGATTTGAGCTAATCACATTTAGAATAAGGTTCTTATCTTTTTTGCACTAATGAGGGCAATGGTAAACATTTTTTTTTAATTTATTTAGTCTTTTAGAGACAGGATCTCGCTATGCAGTACAGGCTGGCCTTGAGCTCACTTTGAGCTCAGGCTGATCTCCAGCTCATAATGATCTGAGCCTCCTCAGTGCTCAGATTACATGATAAATATTAAAAATGAGATTAGGCCCCACCAACTAATGTGAAATATTTCACAAGATAAAAGTAAAAGAGAAAGGGGCAGAACAGTGTATAGAGAAGCCAGCTTTATACCAAACACTCTATCCTCATTGAACTGTCAGCAAGGACATACTGACTGTTAATATTTACCTCTAAGAAAGAGGACTAGACACTTTCACTTTTTGCTTTATTTATACAGGAGCATAAAATAATATTATAGTGAAAAACAGGTTTAAATATTTAAATTTAAAATTCCAAATATTGGCATCTATTTTTTTATTTTTTTAAAGCAAGCTCTGGGCTTGGGAGATAGCTCGATAGTCTAAGCACCCGCCTGGTAAGCACAAGGACCAGGGTTCAGTTCCTGTAGCACATGTCATATGGGCCCTGGAACCTCAGGCACACTGCAATGGCCACTGAAACCGGGCCACTTAAACTGAGAGTGGTGGTGCACGATGATCATCCCAGCCCTGGGGAGGCTGAGACAGGAGGATCACTATGAATCTGTGCTGCATAGTGAGACCCTGGACCAAAATAAAGGGAAACAAAATGATTTTTAAAAATTTTAAAGCAAGCTCTGTTTAATGACACATGCTATAATGACCTGTTCTCTGAGTCAAACTTTTCTCTTGTCTGTATGCATATTAAAATTGACTCAAAACTTTACCAAGCACTTTGCTCTCCTACGCACAGATCTTTCCTGCTGTAGTGCTAATATGGATGCTTCAGTGATGATATTGCCTCCTATAATACACTCAATATTCTTGTATTTTATGCTACAAAAGCTGCATAGAGATACTTCCAATTGGTTTATTCATAAGTATCAAAACTAGGAAGTAATTGCATCTTCCTATATGTTAATAGATAAACCATGGCACATTCATCACATAGAATGTTACCCCACACTGAAAAGAAATGACCTATTAAGTCATGAAAAGACATGGGAAGCTTTAAATGCATATCTCTAGTGAAAGAAGCCAATCTGAAGAAGCTACATACTGCACAAGTGCAACTATATTAATTCTAGAGAAGAGAAATTCTTGGCGATAATAAATAAATTGGTGATTTCCATGCAGGAGTGACTGAGGAAGGAAAAATGAATAGGCAGAGCACAGTGGATTCTGAAACCAGTGAAACAATTTGGTATAAGAGTGGGTCATGTTTTTATACATTTATTGAAACACATGGAATTCACAACACTGAGAGTAATCTCTAGTGTAAACTATTGATTTGGGTGATGATGACGTGTCAGTATAGTCACCTTAACCACAAGTGTACAGTTTTGGTATGTGATGATGATAGTGAGGAAGACCTGTGTGTGTGTGTATGTGTGTGTGTGTGTGTGTGTGTGTGTGTGTGTGTGGTGTGCGCACACGAGCGTGCATGCGTAGCTACTGTTCAAGTTAATGTGAGCCTAAATTTTCCTGAGAAATGTCCAAAGAAGAAAAGGATATATTCCTAAAATTGGAACGACACAGAGAAGATTAGCATGGCCCCTGTGCAAGGATGACACGCACATTTGTTGCGCATTCCATATTTTTATAGATATACACCCACTTTCTCTTAATTCAGTGAGAAGAAAGATTTGTACTAATAGTGTTTGGACAGGATAGTCTGTCTGCATCTTGTACTATGACTAACCACTAAGAAGATAACAATATGCAATGTATTAATTATTGAAACTCTCCTACTAAGCAGTTTTGAAACTGTCTCATTGCTATTTGTTTCTCAATAAAATTATTAAAAAATTAAAATTAAAAAGAAAGAAAAGGATATATTCACTTTGAAGTACTTTTGCAACTTGTACAACAATGGACTTCTATCCCGTCCTTCCCAGATGCACAGTTACTCCTCTCCCCCTCACCCCAGCACAGAAAGTCTTACCAACAAAAATGGTGTTTTTCAAAAATGAAAAACTGAGCAAGACTATTAATATGCTTCCTATTCGAGGATAAAAGAGACTAAATGGCCAATTTAACAATAATAATAAATGTGTGCCTTTTTAATCCATTTCCGTCCACTTACTCTGACTTGATTTTATTTTTAGAGTGCAAAATTACAGCTTCTTCCTTGCTTTTAAAACATACCTGCAATTTTAGAATGCAGATCGCTCACAAAATGCACTTATTCCTCTAAATTATAATTATTGGTACATATTAATTCCACAAAATCACAGGTTTCATTGTGATATTTTCATACATACATGTAATGTGCTTTCATCATAGCCCTTCTCCCTAGTATGTGATGCTGTCACCCTCCTCCTCTCCACTTTTCCCATTCTCCTTCCCTTCGGCTTTCTTACACTTTGTTTTTCTTTTCCCCTTTCCATTCCCCAGGACAGAAAACATGTGATGTATGTGCCAGCTGATTTGAATTGTGAAGTTATCTGGATTAAGAGACTCCTAGAGAGGTAACTGGATCCTGCGAGAGCTATAGGCATTAATAGATGAATCCACTTGCATTCGTTCTTTTTTCCCCCATAATTTTATTGAGAAACAAATAGCAATGAGACAGTTTCAAACCAAATTGGTGGGACAGTTTCAATAATTAACACGTTTCATACATTCTTCCTAGTGGTTTATTGCTGTACAAGATGCGAACATGATATTCTATTTACAAACACGATTAAAACAAATCCCTCTATTCATTAAGAGAATGCAACTATATATCTATCCCAACCATTTTGAATACACAGATACAAAATGGACATTCATTTGTATATCCTTTTTTTGTTTAGTTACGTTATTTGAATATTATAGGTGTGTTAACTCAGCAAAATATTCTAAAAGAGTGCAGTAGTCCATAATAGTATTGGGTCTTCCACTTCACTGGCAATGTCAGAAATTGTTGACCTGAGTCCCCTACAGCTCAACATAACAGGGACCTGCTCTTACTGAGAAGTTTTTGCACATCAAAAGAAATTACCAACAAAGTGAAAAGACAACCCACAAATTTGGAAAAAATCATGACAAATAAGTACTTAGACAAAGGTCTGCTCTCTAGAATTTATAAAGAACTAAAATAAACTAGGGCCCCAAAATTTAAAGACCCAGTCCAGAAATGGGCATCTGAGATGAACACACACTTCTCAGAGGATGAAATTAAAGAAGTGAATAAATATATGAAAAAATGCTCCACACCACTAACCATTCGTGAAATGCAAATTAAAACAACATTGAGATATCACCTCACCCCAGAAAGAATGGCTATCATAAATCACCCAACAACAAATGTTGGACAGACTGTGGGGAAAAAGGAACCCATCTCCACTGCTGGTGGGAATGTAGACTGGTGCAACCATCATGGAAATCAATGTGGAGACTCCTTAGAAAACTTGGACTGGAAATCCACTTGCATTCATAGTGAATGTGCTCTTAGCAGGTGGGTAGGACCCATTTGGAAAAAGTGAGTCGGTAGGGTCATGCCTCCGGAGGTCATGTGTCTCATTATTCCTCTGGCTCTTCTTCTCAGTCACCACAAAATGGCATCTTTTCTCTACCATGCCTTTCTGTCAAGATGCTCACGCCTTGAAGCCAGCCAACTATGGACTACAACTGTGACCCAAAATACCCCTGTCCTCCTTTCAGTTGCAGATCTTGGGTATTTTATCACAGCAATGGAAATCATGAGCAGTACAGTAAACTTGTACCAGAAGAGGATTGTTAATGTGACTATATTTGACCATCTGGTTTAGAAGCCTTTGGAACTGGTTTGCAGGAAGAGTTTGGGCACAGTTGAGGGAGTGGGCAAGACAAAGTCTAAAATGCTAGAAGCAGAGCCTGATGGATGATGCTGGTCAGATCTCAAAGAATGTAACCATATAAAGCTTTTTCTTGGAGAAGCCCCTGGGCCACTGAATACATTCAGTCAAGAAGGCACTCAGCGGTTACTACATAAGTGGTCCAAATGGAACTAAATGCTGCTCAGATTGGAGACAAACCTTGGCATCATCCATGTGATGGTTTTACAGGCATGCAGAATGCAAGATCTATAGAGGCTCAGAGGCTTTCAGCCTTATTTCAAAGAAAGGTCCTGGAGCTCAGGAAATGTCTCTGAAAGGGTAGTGTATGAAGCTGTGGAAATAAAAACTGAAAGTCCAATGGAGATTGCAAGAAATTGGAGATGGTAGGAACATGAAATGACTCCTGAGGAAAGGTGCAGGCTACAGTCAGAACCAACCAGAGACAGGCAGTCTGTGGTGCGACATGAAGGCCACAGGTTTGGAGATACCGAAGCCCCCTAGAACTGTCATCTCACCACCATGTGCATAGGATGCATGCCACAGAGATACAAGATTAAGTGTGGGCATGAGTTTGGTCTTGTTCTGGCCTTATTATTTCCTTTTGGAATGGGAACATTTACTGTTTACTACTGTTGACTGGAAATACTCAACTTGTACCAATCACTTTCTTGTCACTGAGACAAAATACGCAACAGCCACAGCATAAAGGAAGGGTGGTTTATTTGTCTTCCACTATTTAATGGGCTCGATATTTGGCTGGTTCTAAGGCAGAAAAGGCATCAATAGCCTCATTTACTGTTAAATGCCATACTTCCATGATCAAAACAACTTCCAAGACCCCACCTCAAACAAATCAGACTTTTGGGAGATATCAAATATAAAACATAGCTTTCTACCTCTAGCCCCCTAAAATACTCATATCAATCTATTATGCATCTAGTCTGTACCTATGAGTTGCCAAACATCTTAAGTTCTGCCAATTTTGAAAAGTCCAAGTTCAAAGTCCCCTCTGTGACTCAAGACAAACACTTAGCCATGAATTCCCATAAATATAAAAAATGAAGTTAAATGCTATTCTTATAGGCAGATGAATTTAAAAATAATTAATATACAGTCAGAGAGAGACTGGTTTCTCAAGGAAATCAGTTCAAAATAAAGACATTGGAATTATGACTGGAGGTGTATTTGAAGAAGGTAAATCCTCAAGATAGATGCAATGGCCAGACCTGCACACCTTCCTAAGGGATAAATAATAACTGAAATTTATATCATAATTATCAATATCTCATCGAGTAAGTCTGGATAGGACCCACCCCTTCCCAAAATGCCTTTTTTCTTTCCATGTATCCCAGCTACATGACTCATTTCCCTTTCTAAGTGATTATATGTGTAATGCTATAGGTTCACTGTAGTTTGACCCATTGCCCCTACATTGGGACTTTGTTGTTTAAATTACCCTTGAAAGATGGACTCAATGGCCATCTCATTCAGAGATGCTGTTCTCCTTTTTTTCCAATCAAATTCTTCTTCCTTTGGTTCATGACCTCATTCCTTTATATTGTGGGACTATGAACTGGATACATTTACAAAAGGTTGGAAGCTATATTTCACCTATATCACTACAAACATATAATGGCACACAGAAAACATTCCTGTTCCTAAAGTGAGGAACAGGAAGATAGAAAGACACTGGAACAAAGCAAGACAAAATCTATCAGGGCAAACATTAAGTCCTAAAGCTCCATATTTAACAGCTGAGGCAGATTGTGGTGAAATGTGAGCTCCTAGGGGCTTTGGCAGCTCTGCCCTTATGGCCTTATTAATTGTTGCCCTCATGGCTTCTTTCATGGGCAAGCTCTACTCTCTGCCTTTGGTTTTTGTGAGATGTTCTATATGACTGGCATTTCCAACTCTTGGGCTCTCCACTGAACCTTCTGCTTCACTCTCACAGCTTTTAGCACCACTCTGTATGGGTTCTGACAGAGATTGTGACCTGCTACACATTTTTCCTGCCCCACACCAGCATTCTTCTCAAATCTGAGTGGAAGCCTCCATGGTCCCATAAGTCTTGCATTCTGCATGTATAAAAAAATAGCACCATATGGATGACACCAAGGTCTGCTGACCACTCAAGCAGCATCCTGTCCACTGAGATGGTAACTACAGTGTCTTCTGAAAGTCTGGGTAACTGAATGAAGGAAAATGTTTCTTCAGGTGGTTTTGAATGATCAGGGTGCCTTGAGATTATCTTTTTGAAACAGCCTTTCAAAATAGTGCAACAAAGAGCTTGCAGTAGGGAGGATGTGGCCATTTCCTGAAATGCCCTCAAGGCATCTTTCCCACTACCTGATGAAAAGTATTGGGCTTCTTTTTAATGCTACCCTTTTTCAGCATGCATGGTCTCCTTGACTCTATCTCTACACATGGTTCCTTTTGGGACCAAAATTTAAGTTCTTCAAATTTTGCTGCTCTACTTTTTATCCCTGATTTACACTATAAATCTGCATAAAACCACCTAGCAGAATCCATGCCAAAGCCCAAATGTTGAGCTGTCTTAGAATTTCCTCCACCAACTTAGTTAGTCTGCCACTTTTAAATCACTCCTCAGACAGTCTTAGGAAATGGACAAAATGTAGAGAAAGTCTTGGCCAGAAGGAAACAATTGCTGTTTTTCATCAAGTTTCCAATATAGTCCTCATTTATGTCTGAAACCTCATGATCTTGGCCTTTACTATACACATTTCTGTTAGTATTCTGTCTTCTGAGCTGCAAGCAGAAGGCATAGTTCCAGCAAGGACA